CTTAAATCAATTTACACAGGGAATCAGACTTTTTTTTAAATCAGTGCCATATCACTTTTCAGGAGGTAGGCTATCAATGGCTTTCAATTCAATATATTCATATTTATTTTCTTTATTTGTGTATTGCCATACTTCTTGGGAATTAGAAGGGTGGTGATTTCCCATTGCTTTCCCAATTGTCCTTCCCCCAGACTGGACATCAACCAGCCTACTCTGCTATTTGACTTCTAGCATGTGCATGCTTTAGCTTTCCCTAATGGAATTCGTGCAAGAATTAATTAATGCAACAAACTAAGCCGGAATTTGAACTCTTCGTAGATTTCACTGTCTGTAGAAAATATTTTTTTTCTTCACACTGTAAAACATTCTAAACTATAAAAAAAAAAAAAAAAAAAAATGTAAAAAAAAAAAAAAAACTAAAAGCTAATGTCGCTATGAACCCAGACCTGTAGTTTATTGATTTTTTAAACTTTACACACACAGAGACACACGCTCATTGATAAAATAGTGTATAACTTTTTAGACTTAGTTTTAAGTACTTTAAATACTTTTTTGATATAAAATTAAACTTTTTTTTTTTCATCGTCATTAGAAAAACCCTACGAAAATTTAAAACGTATTTTTCTTGTAAACTAAACAACAGACTTTTTTTATCGATTCAAAACAAAAGTTATCAAAAACATTCCATATTTCCTTTAATTTGAACAGTTAACGTAAAGAAAACCCATAAAAATAAAATGAAGAGAAAAAAATACTAAGGAGACAGGAATGATACCCAATCTTTATACTATGGATGACCAAGACTGTCAGTTGAGTAAACGTAAGCTCTGCTACTAATAGTGACTGAAAAGAAAAGTAAAAACTACAGTACACTACAGTCCCTCATTTTTGAGAAAGGAAGGATATTAGAAGCTCATTAAAATTGCATTTAAAATCTTAATTAGTTATTTTAGCACACAATTTAAAATTTCAGTTCATTCATTTTACTTCATTTTTTTTTTTTTTTTTTAAATACCGGTTCGTTATGTTTCCATCTTTTGTTTTTGTTTTGTTAATCCATACCCTGTAAAAGTCTCCCTGCACGGACGTGATTTTTTGCATAATAAACTAGAGAGAGAGTGTTTTTTTTTTTTTTGGTGTTTTTACTTTAAATTGCAAGCAGGAAAAAGAAAAGTAAAACTAAAGAGAAGATTAAATAGAAACGATTCTATTATTGAATTAATTGTTTAATGAAAAAAAATCTAATCACATTTTTTTTTTTTTACTTTGATTTGGTTTAAAAAAAACTTTAAGGTTTTACTTTTGGGAAAACAAGAAAATTATTAAATATTTGTAAATATTTTTTTTTTTACAATTTTACGTTAGTAACTAGTTCGTTGGAGAAAAAACTAAATGAGTCAGAGTAACGACTAAATAAATAAATACATCATAGGAACCCCCCCCCCACACACACACACACAGAAAAAAGACAACAATTGTCCATTGTTGATGTTGTTGCAAGCATTTTTGTTCAACATGCATTTTTTATATTTATTTTTTTTAGCGGGCAAAAACCTTTTGAAAGGAAGCATAAATATTGTCTTTTTCTTCGGGTTACAAAAAAAATAAATAATGTCCGGAGTTTCTATTATAAACGGGAAAATGCTTTTTTTTTTTATTTTAGAAATCACCCATCGATATTATTGTTTCTCTTCAGAACGGTTTTACGATAAAGTAATCACGTGACTCAACAAATACTTTCCCTAATAATTCTGTCTTGTTCAAAATCAATAAACACTGGAATTCTTTGTTTGGGAGGGGATTAAAATTATCTTTTTTTTTCTTTTTTTAAGTCCCCCTTTTTATTTTTTTATACCTGTATTGATCCTTGAATATTTTCTATCTACGTATGTCGTCAAAATTTCAAGAAACAGGTTTTATTGATATGAAACAAAGTTTAAAAACAAAACAAAAAAGGCCAAGTACAATATTTATGGGAGAGGAAATGTGTGGAGGCATTTTCGGGGTGGGTAAATGTTGCAGCAACGATAATCTTCTACAGTTGGGAAAAAAAAATATTGTCCACTACTACAGACGTAATAAAATAAAAATCCTCTTAGAATTAAATAACGTAGTTTTCAATTAATTTACTAAAAGTCCTCCACCTTAAAATTAAGAATTGAATGATGAACACAAAACGAATGCTTCTAATATATTTTCCCCTACAACACGAGAATACTATGCACTGCTTGTTATTTGGTAAATAAAAGAATTCTATAGTGTACTGTATTTTATCAAAACTCAAATGGAAAGGCTTAAATTTGAGCCATTTCCTTTATCATGGATGGAAAAGGGGATATTTAATTAGTAGTTTGGGGCTTTTTTATGCAAATCCTTTAAGTTAATAATGTCAATTTAAAATGCATGTTGAGTGCGCGCAATAAAAAAAAAACACGAGTATAATTCGCTACAATCATTTCTCGTTGTTTAATAAGATACAGAAAGAGAATTATTATCTCAAGATTCCGAATAATTTTGTTAGGTTAGAATATTAAGGAATTAACGGAAATATTTCAGGGTCGTTCCCCCCACCACCTCATTCTTTATATTTCTCTTTACAACAGACTAAAAGGAATTCGGTTGCACCAAAAAGAAAAGGGAGGCATTTATGATGAACTAGGAAAAAATAAAAACAATAAGAAATATATTTGGGTTTAAAAAGCTAACGATAAATGAAGTTCGGTTTCTTTATTAAAATTGTAATTTTTAAAACTTTAGAAGAAAAGGCTGGAGCTCCTAAACGAACGTTAAACGTTGAAGTCAAACAGAACAACAATCATCAATATCCCCCATGCTTGAAATGTTTGTCATTCGGTAAAAATCAAAATTTGTATGCAAATTCTTTTTCATTATTTTAGAAGAGTTTAAATGTTTTTTTGTTTTCCTTTTTTAATTTTATTTAACTTCATGAACCTTAAAAAAAAAGACACTATGCAACAGTTTAAAAATGTGTCCTACGCAAAAACAAAAAAAACAAAAACAAACAGTAATTACGGTTTTGTGCCACTCAATTTGACATTCCAGAGAAAATTAAGCGGCTATGAATCCCAGATAAATTACCATTCCGAATTATTTCACCAAAGGATTAGTTTCTTTTTCTAGTGTTATTTATTTTTTCAACAATCGATATAGATAACATTTAAAAAGCTTTGTCAATTCGTTTGGTGATATTCGGTTTTAAAATAAACAACTAAAAATAAAATAAAAATGCAACACCCTCTTTGTTTTTTGTTTTTTTGTGGCTGTTTAAAAGTTTCTATTACTACAAAAAAAAAAAATTTAAAATTATTTAAAACTTAAAAAGATAAATAAAAATGTAAATTTGGGGAGAAGTATTTTTTCCGTATGAAAATTGAGAGAAAAAACAGCTATTTTTCTATGATGGTATTTATCTGGTGAAAGAAAATGATTTTTTTTTATTATTTCTAAAAAAAAAAAATAAAAATAAATAAATAAATTGTAGCAACAACAGAAAAAAATATTAAAAATGAAGAAAAATATCCTATTTCCAAGTTTTTAAAATCTTTTTTTAAAAAAGAAAAAACTTCTGTTTTTAAAATAAATGGTACTTTTAACAACATTAATTAATAATTATATTCCCATTTTCATTTTTTTTTTTTTGCAAACCTTTTTTTCTTTAATAAAATTCACGGTGACCGGTTTCATCAAAAAAAAAAAAAAACCGTACTAGTCTTTTTCAAATTTAATGAGACAAAAAGACTAAAATTGTGAAATAAAAAAAAGTTGTTTTTTTTCTATTTTTTTTTTTTTTTTACAGGAATTTAAATAAATAATATTCTAGTTTTCTTCTGATTGTTTCAAAGATTTTTAATAATTAAAAAAAAAACAATATCATGCAAGGAAACAAATTAAAATAAAAACTACGAACTAAATAAAATTGGGGGTGGGAAATGAAACAGAACAATACCTGATAATGAGTGAAATATCCTTTCCGTTTGTAAACTTTTTAAATTGTTACTTTGAAGATCAAACTCTTCACGTGAAAAATTCTGCTACCCAATGATCTACCCAGGATTTTAACGTGTGTTATGTGTACATTAAACGAAAAAAAAAAAACATAGGTACTTTGTTGATAATTTTTTTTTCTTTTGTACTTACGTTTCTTTTTGGAATTTCTTTTTATTTTACTTTTATTCCGTGTGCTACGACTGACCGATAAAATCCTAAAGCATGGTACACTTGTTTATTGTAAACTTGCTTTTCCTCTTTCTGCCACACGGTAAAAGTGACAACCGCACACAGTACGGCTCGACAGAGACACGTGTTCTGTTCATTCTTTGTAGTAATGCGTGTGTGCATTTACTACCAGTAGCTTTCAACCTTAGACGCTTTGGCTCGGCGGTAGAGCAAAGGACCAAGAAGCCTGGGGTTCCAACACAAGTGCCGGGTCCGCGAGATTCATTACCAAAGCAAATGAAGGAAAACTCCGTTTATTACGGAGAAGAGCTCTTTCTTCTCTAAATGATATTTTGTAATAAATAGTTAAAATAATCCACACAATTACTAACTGGTTGTGTGGACGCACAACAAAGTCTATCTGTGTGCATATATACAGCTCATGTGTAGTGTCTGCCCGTCAAGGATTATTTTGTAGGTGCTCAGGCTCCTAGTAAGTAGTCTATCGGAAAAGCAAAACGGATGAAAATCAGTATAAAATATAAATGTCCATTTCAATTTGTTTTGTGATTCCTACTTGTAAAATACGAGATACCCAATTCGGAAAAAATAACTACAAGTTGTAGGCTCAGCCAGTCATTTTTGTGTTGGTTTCATTTTCTTTTTTCACGATATAAATCCGTGAATTTTATCTTTTATGTTAATCTCTTTTTTGTGTGTGTATTATACGGCTGCGTGTGTTTTTCAATGTTCAGCTTTTGGGGGGACCTCGTAGTAAGAATAAATAATGTTTGGACTTCATTTTTTTTTCTTCTCCGACGTTGTCATTTACCACAACAACAACGACGACTACAAGTAGTAGTAACAATAGTCATGAGACCCGTCTTCTTACTTTGCCTGCTAGCCGCCCCCTTTTGTAGCAGCAGCATTGAAGGGGTTGTTGAGTCTGACTATGACAACCCCACAAGAAGAAGAAGAGGAGGAGGAGGAGGAAGACGAGCAGAAAAAAATACCATCACATCATATCATCATCATCATCTATCTATCTATCTAGCATCGCGAAAAACAGTAACCCCACTTCGCTTTGCAGAGATATAGCAAATAAAAAGAAAGAAGAAGTATGAATATACGGGGGTAGAGGAAAGATTGCAGTGATGGAGACAGTGAAGAAAGAGACAGAAAGAATTAAATCAAGTAGTCGCCTTTTAGCACAGCTGCATTTGTGTTACTGAGCTGCAGTGTTGAAGACCCTAACTCAGAGATTCCCAACTCTAATTCTTTCGTCATTATTCATACGTTCGTTAAGCTTTTTCTCCCCCTTTCTTTCTCTGTCTTTTTTATCTGCTTCTCTTTTTAGAAAGATAGAAAAATAGATAGATAAAAAAAGGGAAACAAGAATACAATACTTCTTTTTTTCTTTTACCTTTTTAACTCTCTTTCGACAGTGATTGGTATTGGAGATAAAAAAAAAAGGAAAAGTGATTCTCTACATATTCTTTCACATTTTACCTCGCCCTCTTTAATGATAGATAGATGAGATGAAAATGGAAATACTCTTTTTTTTTCTTTCGTCTTTTTAGCTTGAGAGAGAGAGAGAGAGAGAAAGAGATCTGAGGTATTGACACTAGTTACAAAAGACTAATTCTTTCACTTCCTTTTTTATTATTTCACTTTTTATTTCGCCCTCTTTAAATAGAGAGAGATAAAGACAAAACGGTTTGTTTTTTAACCCTTTCGCATTTTTATCTCATTTCGTTTATTAGACAGGCAGCGGTCATGGAGAAATTGTAGATTTTACAACTACACGAACGAACTGGCTGTTAGGGAAGAGGAGAGAAAACCGTTCTGTACGAGTTTTCGAACTAGGGAGGGTTTGCTTATTCTGAAAATGAGCATTCCATTCGAAATCCTGGCTTTTTTATTTCAGATCGAAGATAGATTAATAATGATATGAATAGTCTCTCTATGTGTGTGTACTGTGTAGAGAGATAGATTGTGAATAGACTAGATAAAAATATAAATAGAAAATATGATTATAAAATGTGTAGACAGAAACTGGATAGATTGATATGGATAGAGATAGATATGAATAGAATGTGACACTAGAGAAGAATCTCTAGATACATATGAATATAGATTATAGAGTCCAGACTGTTAGTGTTATGTAGATAGATATGAATAGAGACTGTGTAGGTAGATATGAAAATGAAATGAATAATAGTGTATTATTAATAGACTTAGTGTAGTTATGAATAGACAGTAATGAATCATAGTGATTTTCCAAGCGTAGCTTAGATGTGGCACAAGGCCGAAAGTATGGGGCACCCAGTGAGAATCGAACTCACTGGCGTGTGTGTAATTTAGCTCTCTCTCACCCAATGTGTAGATCACTCTTGCTGTCCTTCATTTTTAATTCTCTCTCTTATTTATCCTTCGTATCTTCAGTGTTAAATTTTTTTTTTTTTTTTTGAAGTTGAGGGCTTTTCCGCGACGAAGACGAACAGTTTTTAAGGATTGAAAAACTGTCTTCTTTAGGTTAGTCGAGTTTGTCCTCGGGTGTTAGCGATGGCATTGATTGACAATGACAGTAAATACCCCACCCTTATCCGCCACAAAAAAGATGAGGCCTTGACATTCCTTAAGGTATTTATCTAATTTTCCAGCTGAAGATGACACATTTCCACGGGTATCAATCGGGAATAGATAATTCAATTTTAAGAACGAATGACTGCACTTGCTGCCTGGCATGTTCAACAATTTTCCAGTCACAATGGCAATGCTCATTTCTTGAATCGAATACAGCTAAGCAAGAAGGCTTAAACAAATGAGCCGTGTCCCTTCTCTGTTAGTACTAGTATTTGTATTTGTTCTTCATTAAAGCTTACATTTTTAAAATATAGAACTAGAACAGAATTTACTGTAGTAAAAAAAAAAAAAAAGAAATACTTGTTTCGGGATTCGACCTCATAGAAACAATTAACAAAGTGAAAAAAAGTTCTTATCAAATCAGGTTTTAGACTTTCAAATCAGAAAGAGACAGATGCATAAAAATTTCGCGTGGATGCTTGCTTCTAGGCTCGAACTTGAATCAATCATTAAATAATTTTTCTCAGATGAGCCAAAAACCTCTTAGTCTTTAATTATTGATAATCCTTGCAGAAACAGAGAGAAATTTCTAAGAGTCGATTTCAATTAACCTGGAGACTCGGACAAATATAGAAAATCCTGTTAAACAAAAAGAAATCTTGAATTATTCGTTGATATTAAAATCAGCAATCGAGTTGTAACCAGCTTAAGAAAACATAATTAATAAATGATTTATTATAAATCACAAGTTATTTCAATTTCATCCTTTCGCACTGGTTTAACAACCCCGCATTCAGAGCCTGAAAAGATTGGCTAAAGTTTGAACCCAAGTCAAAAACGATTTAAAGTAAACTAAAGTCTTTATTAAATTAAATGAGCCACAACTTATGACGCAGCCGTGATGGTTATAGCAGCTTTCATTTAATAGACAGCTTGTATTTTTTTTTTTTTTTTGTTGCAATTTACAAGATTACCATCTCTTAGTTACAATGGAGGATCTACTATGAAACTAATAAAGCTTAAGCTTCAGGACCCTAATCCTAGAGGGGTCCCTGAAGCATCCTTTTTAATAAGTGAAATTTTCAACAAAATCGATTTTTTTAATGTTTTTAAAAGAAAGGGCGTTTTAGTGATAAGTAATGGTTGAAGTTGAAGTAGCCAATGTTGGTCTTAGAAGATGGTCTCTATTCTATATTCATTTGATTTTTCATATGATCTCAAAATTCCTCTGTAATTGGTCAAATTTCAAAATTTTCTTGGGTGTTTGTAGCGCCTGAGCTCCCAATTATATGGGCTCGTTGACCTCACTATAATGGCTACATTTTGTCAGTTGGATCCTATTGTTGTTGATTGCGAAGTGGGCGGGGGCTACGTCTGTTCAAGCTTCAGGGCCTCAGAAATGTATGTCTGCCACTGCTTAGTTAAAATTTTAGCTAAATGATGGTATGGGTCTTGGGGGGGGGAGAAAGCATGAAATAAAATCATAAGGTACGCTTTGTTAGGGTAGGAAAAATCATAACTATTATTTTCATCTAAAATAAGTACTATTTTAATATAATAAGTAATATTTTAATTTAATTTTAATATATCTTAATAAAATTTACATTTATTTAATTTATAAGTATTTTAATAAAATTGTAAGGGAGTTACAAATTATAAACCCCCTAACATTTATATAAACAAAAATACTCGTAAAAATGAGAAACAGCAAGATGTCGAAACAATAATAAAACAAGTATTATTTGTTATCTGGTTGTTATATGGTTTTGAAGGCACGACAGACAGTAATACTAAGTAAAATTGTGAGATTACTAAGTAAAATTGTGAGATTGGGGTCAAATGTAGATCAAATATAGATCGGAATCCGACAAAATGATAAGATAAAGAATAAGTAAAGTGTATACAGTCTTTCTCGCATGTTTATATATATATATATATATATATATATATATATATATATATATGTGTGTGTGTGTGTGTGTGTGTGTGTGTGTGTGTGTGTGTGTGACAGACAGACAGATAGATAGATAGATAGATAGATGTAATGAGTGGTCAGATAATTTTGTTAGAAAAAACAAAAGTGTCTGAGGTTTTCTTACCTCGATTTTTTGTTGAGTGCTAAAAGATTGTTGTTACTATTATGGTCTAAAAAAAGAAAAGGAGATGAAATTTTAGTTGACGCACGTTTTAACGATCTGTTCGTGTGAACTGCTTGTTCGATAGTGAGAATGTTACGTGTCTCTGTGTGTGTGTGTGTGTGTGTGTGTGTAGAGGAGAAAAGTGAAGTCGATTCTCACTGGTTTAGAATGAATGAATTAATGATAATTATAATTGTTATATTTATTTTATTATAATTATTTTTTTACACTATAATTAATTTTTATTTATTTTTTATGGACATGACAAAATAAGTAATATTTTAAACCAAAATTTAGGTAATTAAAATTTTATCAAAGTCACTTAATTTATAACGAAATAAGTAATATTTTAAGTAAACATTAGTGACTTCTATCACAAATGTCTTATTCAAAATATCATCTATTTCATTGCTATAAAAAATTCAATGACTTTTATTTTGTTAAGATATTAAAATATTACCTATTTTATGAAATTTTATAATATATTTATTTTCTCTTGGGTGTATTTTTTCCCACCGAACCTATGTTATTTTTCTTACCTTACCAAAGCGTACCTTGTAACTTTTTCCAATCCTTTTTTATCTATATTTTTTACTACAACAAAAAGTTGTTTGTATGTTCATCTTGCAGACCATTGTGTTACTTATGCAGAAAATTCGACCCTCATTGAATACCCTATAATTATGCCCCAGCTGAAGTAAATAAATATCTAAATTTTTTATTCTCTAGAATAATACCAACAAAAATATATTTTTAAGGCTAAGAAAGAGTTTTAACGGGTTTCTTCTTGTTTTCCAAATCCTAAAATTAATTTTTACTCAGAGAGCTCGATCCTAATTCGAAGAAATAAAGATTTACGAAAAGTAAGTACTAATTACGACTGTCAAACAAACGAAAAAATTTCTTTTTAAATTTTGTAGTAAACAAACCTACCTAAATACAAGCGAGAAACTTTAAAATAATTTTAATAGACCAACGAAGAAAATTGTCTTCGTTGTGGATTAATGATCTAGTCTGTTTGAGAATTACTAGTAGTGATTTCGATCCTTACTAGGGGACTCATAATTGTGTCCTCGTGCCAGCCAAACTAAACTAAGCATAATGTATAAATGACGACAGTTACTCGAATTGGAGCGCCGCGGTCTGGGGTAATTCTTAGCTAACTGATCTTGTTGACCATTACTAGCAGTGTTGTCCTGGGTATGACAATAAACTACATCCGGCAGAAAGGCCTCTGATCGGGAAAGTATAAAAGTACATTTTAATCGTAAAGATGCTAGCAATACATTTCTATATAAAAAATAACAAAATACATATTTCTAATAAAATTAACAACAATACATTTTTAAAACAAAATGACTACCAACGCATTTATAGTAGAATTACCAACGATATATTCATAGTAAAATGACCAATAATGCATTTTATCTTTAGTTGAAGCCATAAAATTGTGTTCAAAATATTTAGATTTCGGCATTAAATAACCCATAGAGGTTGATATGCCGCTAAACCAAATCAACCAACCAACTTGGTGCACTATACTTTATTTTAATCGGTATCACCCCATGCAAGTCAGTAATGCCACTAAAACACAAGGGGTTACAGGATGTGGAAGAATTAGGAACAGAAACATTAATGATGAGCAGAAAGAGAAAAGAGTAATCAGGAAAACAGTAAATAACGATTGGCATTGTATTTAAATTTTTGCAGATTGGTTGAAAATTTTTACAAGTTGGTTGGAAAGCATGGAGCCGAAAGGGAGTTCCACAAGTGAGAAGTACGATAGAAAAATCTGTTAGCATAGAATTTACGGCTACATCTTACATATGTGTAAATTGATGATATCTCGACGCCTACCTAGTACTGCAGTTAAATTCAAAACCTCTAGGTACCATAGCGAAGAGCTCATCCGAACAATTACCACGAAAGTATTTATAGAAAAGACATAGAGAGGTAACCCCATGGCAGTGGGAAAATGACAGAAGCTGAGCTGCCAGACCAAGGCCAATAATATTGCTGATTATTCTTTAGATTTTATCGAGGAGCTCAAGGTAAATAGCAGGGACACCGGACCACATGCGGCAGCAATATTCTGAGCATGGACGAATGGTAGACTTATGGATATGTAAGATAGATTCTGAAGAGAAAAATTTTTTCGCGCCACACATTGAACCGAATTTCTTAGCAGCCGACCAAGCAATGGACTCAATATAGTCCTTCCGCTTCATGTCAACAGAGAACGTGAGCACGAGACTTTGCCAAAATAAACTAATTTTATCAAAATCTGTGCCTCGGCGGTGTGGCAATGGTTAACGAGCTAGTTTGGTTGACCATTACTACTGAGTATCGAGTTCGACCTTCATTTTGTAGCCTTATACTAAATCTAAGCTTGGTAAATAACAGTAGGTATTTATGCTGGTCTCCACACTGAGGCGGGATGTGACACAAGGTCGGTTTTAACTTGGGGAAACCCGAGCGCGTACATCCGGGCCAAGGATAAAAATTGCGCAGC